AAATTATTTCCAGTTTTCAAAGTCAATGTTTAGCACTCACACAAAAATAATGAGACACACAAAAAGACAAGAATTGACTAATAACTAATATAAAATAATAAACAGTAGAAATAGATCCATAAGTTATCCAGATATTTTTGTTATCAGACATAGATTTTAAAGTAAACAAGACGCAGGGAACCTGGGTGGCTTGGTCGATTAAGTGTCTGACTTGGGCTCAGGTCATGATCTCACAGTCCGTGAGTTCAAGCCCCGCGTCGGGCTCTGTGCTGACAGCTCAGAGCCTGGAGCCTATTTCAGATTCTCTGTCTCCCTCTCTCCCTGCTCCTCCCCTGTTCATGCTCTGTCTCTCTCTGTCTCAAAAATAAATAAACGTTAAAAAATTTTTTAAAAATAAATTAAAAAATAAAGTAAACAAGACTAATATGTTAAAATAGTAAACAATGAGGTGGAGAATTTTGGTGGAAAACCAGATTTTGTACAAAGGGATCAAGTGAAACCTGGACAATTTTAAACTATAATAACTTAATTGAATAACCCGATCAGTTGGGCTTAATAGAAGATTAGATACAGAAGGTTAGAAAAGAGAATTAGTAAAGGGGGAGATGGGCCAGAAGAAAATATACAGAATGGAGAGGTATCATTTTCCTAGGTATTTTGGAGGCCAGCATAATTTTAATACCAAAAAATGACAAGGATATGATAAGAAAGTAAACCTAGAGGTCAATCTTTTTTTTTATGTGTTTTATATGTTTGAAGTATTTTATATGTTTGAAGTGTTTTATATGTTTGAAGTATTTGTGTATATGCTTTGTTCAAGTCAATGAGAAACAGAACAAGTGGGCAGAAGTGTTAAACCACTACTTGATAAAATATGATATTAAGCAACCCACAGGCTTTTATACAAGGGCTCATCTTCCCTCATCAACAGGTAAATGGAAATTAAAAGTACAGTATGATACACTGCCACCAAAATGGTTACTCTCATACACTGCTATAGGGATGTAAACTGTAGAACAACCTTGGATAATCATTTCGCAGGACTGACTAAACTTCAGCATATACATATCTTACTATCCAGCAATACTTAACACAAATACATGCTTCAAAAAACATGTAAACATGTCATTAAACAAATACTAAAAGTAACTTAAATCTAGCAATATGGAATTATAATAGGGTAGGTACATACAGTGGAAAACTATACAACAATGAACAGTAATGAAATATTGCTACACACAAGAGAAATGAATCTCACAAACAAAATATTGAGCAAAAGAATCCGGACAAAAAAAACATGTGTTGTATGATACCATTTCTAAGTAGCTTTGTTTGCAATAGCAAAAATCTAAAGATAGTCCAAATATCCACAAACAGGAAAATGTGAAGAATACTCACATAATAAAAGTCCACAAACAGTAAAAATGAACAAACTAGCATTTCATGCATAAAAACATTAAATGAAAAAAATCCAGGCTTAAAAGATAGTAAACTAATATATTGTTTAGAGATTCACATAGACATAGTAAAACTATGAGGGAGGAAAAGGAAATGATGAACCCAAACTTCAGAATAAAATGTAAGCTCTGTGAATCAGGGCTTTTCATTGTTTTATTATTTTTATTTTATTTTATTTTATTTTATTTTATTTTATTTTATTTTATTTTATTTTAATGTCTTTCAGTGACTAGAACAGTACTTGACACATAATAATCATGCAAAATATATTTATCAGGGCACCTGGTGGCTCAGTTGGTTAAGCATCTGACTTCGGCTCAGGTCACGATCTCACTATTCGTGAGTTGAGCCCTGCATCCGGCTCTGTGTTGACAGCTCAGAGCCTGGACTCTGCTTTGGATTCTGTGTCTCCATCTGTCTCTACCCCTCCTTCACTCATTCTCTTTGTCTCTCTCTCTCAAAAATAAATAAAACATTAAAAATGAAGAAAAAAATGAAAGAAAAAAACAAAGTATTTTTTTCAATAAATAAATAAATGAGGAGAGAGGCAAATGATATAGGGAGTTACAGTAGGATTCGTGAAGTTCTGTTACTCAGGCTGCATCATGGGTATTTAGGGGTATGTGTCTTGGTGCTCCTTATCCTACATATGTGTGAATATGTAGTTTCTGGATTATGAAATATATTATACAATACTTCAAAATTTTAAAATGCACTACTGAATTTTTATATTGAGAAACATTGCCAAGTAAGATATAAAACAGACCTCCTCAGTGCATCACTCAGATGCAAATTATCCCTGAGACTGCCTTGGCTCTCATGAGAGGTGGGTTGGGGTGCTGGGTATAGGGTTGATAGGAGTCACAGGAAGAGAATTGGAGAGGGTGGTTAACTCCATATTTTAGCAGATTAAACATTAACATTTTACATTATGATTTTATATTAAAGTGGCCATGTTGATATGTCTTGCTTTGTTCCCTATATAAGGGCAAGGAGTGAACAAGAAAAAGAGGTAGATCTATTTGTGCAGGTGGGGAGATTTTAGGTCATAGAGGGCTTTTAAGAAGGAGTAAGTAGCATTTAATTTTTCTTTCCTTTCTTTAGCTCCAAAAGAATTTCCACAATATATGCAAAACTCTCTTTCTGATGAGTCAGTAAAAATTACCTATACCAAAAATACCAAGGCATCTCCAAAATACAGTCTTAGAAAAGGAGGATATGGGGCGCCTGGGTGGTGCAGTCGGTTAAGCGTCCGACTTCAGCCAGGTCACGATCTCGCGATCCGTGAGTTTGAGCCCCGCGTCGAGCTCTGGGCTGATGGCTCAGAGCCTGGAGCCTGTTTCCGATTCTGTGTCTCCCTCTCTCTCTGCCCCTCCCCCGTTCATGCTCTCTCTCTGTCCCCCCCCAAAAAAATAAATAAATAAACATTGAAAAAAAAAAAGAAAAGGAGGATGTGGTTCATGTGACCATATGAGAAAGCCCACCAAAAACACCATTTCCCCACAACCATGAAGATCAACTGGAGATCAATCCCATTCTTTAGTTTCTTTTTGTTTGTTTGTTGTTTTTTGAAAAGCAAGCCATCTGTTTGAACAATTCAGAGGGTGTAGGTTCTTATTCATGTGCCTGTTGCCACAAAGTATTTCAGTTTATTCATGCAAGTGCTGGCTGAGTGCCTAGGCCCTTATGGAAATGTGGATAGCAGTAGGTTTTGGTTCCCAAACACCTCAAATACAGAGTGAAACCTCCACCACAAGGTATTTTATCAGTAAAGAAACTGGGTGATTTCATTCCCTGTCATGTATTCCACAAGTTTACCTTGATACATTTGAACGTCACATGTATGGTATGTTATCACCCTTTACTCATTAGGACCACTTAAAGATATTACAAAAATAAGTTACCAACTTTAAGAAACAAAACAGATGATCATATGGGAAGAGGTGGGGAAAAGAAAGGGAAACAAACCATAAGAGACTCTTGATGATAGAGAACAAACTGAGGGTTGATGGAGGGAAGTGGGTGGGGGAGGGGCTGAATGGGTGATGGGCATTAAGGAGGGCACTTGGGATGAGCACTGGGTGTTACAGGTAAGTGATGAATCACTAAATTCTACTCCTGAAACCAATATTACACTATATGTTAACTAACTAGAATTTAAAAAAACTTTTGAAAAAAAAGTTACCAACTTCAATGATATTCTGCAACAAGCACACATAATCTAAAAAGAATTGGTATCAAAATAAGTTAAAATGTCTATAAATCGCTAAGAATAACACAAAGAATCCAATAGAAAAATAGACAAAAAAACCAAGAATAAGCATTTCAGAGAAAAGACACAGGTGCAATAGATGCATGAAAAAATGTTCAGTATTATTAATAATCAGGGAAATGCAAATCAAAATTATAGGAGATGCTATTCTACTGACATTAGAGTAACCAAAATGAAAAAGGCTGATGATAACAAGTACTGGGAAGGATTTGGAACCCTAGGACTTCGCAAAAGGTGGTAGTGGTAGTGGTAAATTAGAGCCATCTCATTGAATTCTATTCCGGCATTATCTCCTAAAGATTCACATACTTTAGGGGCACCTAGGTGGCTCAGTCAGTTAAGCATCTGACTTTGGCTCAGGTCATGATCTCACCATCTGTGAGTTCGAGCCCTGCAGCGGGCTATGTGTTGACAACTCAGAGCCGGGATCCTGCTTCAGATTCTGTGTCTCCCTCTCTCTCTCTTCCTCCCCCACTCACGCTCTGTCTCTCAAAAAAGAAAAAAGAAAAGAAAAAAAAAAAAAAAGACTCACCTACTCTATGGCCCAGAAGTCTACTCCAGTGAAGTGCTTGCAATGTCTGATAGGTGACACACACTCAAAGATTCAGAGCATGGCTGTGCACAATGGCAAAAACTGGGAAACAATCCAAACCCATGTCAGTGGGCAAACAGATGCTTAAACTGTGGTATACTCATCAGAGGAATGTAATAAAGCAGTCAAACCAAACGAACTGCAGCAACATCCAACAATACAACAATAAATACAACTCTCAGCAACATGATATTAGGTGACAAAACGTCCCCAGCTATTGTGTACGCATGATATCCTTTCTATAAAGTTCAGAACAACCAACATAAGAAAAATAAATTTGGAAATAGGCAGTTAAACTATTCAAACAGAAAGCAAGAGAAGGATGATGACAGGAGGCAGGGTCAGGTGGAACGATGGAGAAGAGAACAAGTGTACTGTTTGGGTAAATGTCAGCTGTTGTGATGTGAGGATCTTAGCTCTTGTTTTGCATTGTGAATTTGTAGATGCTTATTATGATACAAAGTAACAAAACATATCTAAGTGGGTCCATGCAAGGGCTGGTGATGACTGTGTCATAGAACAGGGATCACTGTTAATGCACTTCTGTACATCCAACATCCATAATAAAGAAAGCAAACACCATTTTTTACAAAGAGAAGATGAACACTAAAAACATACGATGACCTTTACATTTCAGAACGTGGGAATACTCCTTCACGTTGCCCTTTGTACCACCAGGGCCATCCATGGCATGGAAACCGTTGCCCTGCTATACGACAGTGAACAAGAAACTGTTTCTGCTCTTGAGGAATTCATGTTTGGTGAAACACGTAAGTAAGTGGGTAACTCCAGCATTAACTAAGTGATAGGATAATCATGGAATATGAGAACACAGGGCAGGGGGCAGGAAACTTGCCTGCACGTGGAAGCAGTCACCCTAAAAGGCTGTAGAATCTAACTTTGGACTTCAAAGGGCAGGATATTTTAGGCAGAGAAATCCCACGTGTGAGGGGCTCGAGGTGGGACATCGGAATTGTTAAAAGTGGTTCCATTTGACTGAAGCGGAGAAATGGGGGAGGGCTGGGGGGGAAGAAGGGAGATGGGGCTGGGGAAGTTGACAGGGGACCCCATCATGCGGGGCCTTGTAAGCTATACAACAAACTAGGGGCCTCATCTCAAGAGCTACCGGAAACAATTGAAGAGTTTAAGCCAGAGAGCGAAAAGATTAGATTTTGTGCCTCATCAACAGCAGGACTGGAGGCAGAAAGGATCAGTGAGATTAAGCAGAGGCTGAGGCATGAGGCGGGGCATGGTGGTGAATGGAAGAAATGACAGGGAGAAGTAGCCCACTTTGGGATTTATTGAGGAGGTACAAGAAGGAAGACTCTAGGGATGGCGTGCAGAAAGGGACCAAGTAAGAATCATTTGGGCAAGAATCGTCTTGACTTTGGGTAGCTGGGGAGATGGTCGCACAGATGCCGAGACCTGAGAAAATGTGAGGAAGCACGTGCACATCTTGCCCGGTGCATTGGTGCATAGCGTCTCGCTTACTTTTCTCCAACAAAATATGGCTCTCAAGTTCTAGAATTTACAGAGATCCTCACGTTCGCAAACCCCTGGACTGAGTTGTTAAAAGGTGCTGTCTCAAGGTACCATAGGAGGAATCTTTAAATGAAGGTTCCCCAAATCCATGACCTGGCCTTATGAAAGTGGCTTCACTTTATTTTGTAAGTGATTCTTGGATTAGTTACTTGCGCGGCCTAAGGTTTAGGAGTATTGCTAAATATTTGTGCCACTGACCTCCAGTTTATAAAATGAGGTCAGAGTGCCTTTGAGATTATTTTCCTTCTATTTAAAAGCACCATAATTACCTAAGCATGGCTGTACTGGGCAGCGGCTAAATAATAAAACCTTTTGCTTCAGGCATAACGTACAACAACTGCACATATTGTTTCCTTTCATATGGTGAGCCATAAATATGTGAAGGAAGCGGCATTAATTTCCTATAGAGTGATTTGCCAAGGTGAAATGTTCTGATCAGTGGTAAAATACGCATGCTTGGACCTATGTCTTATAACAGTCCTGTGATATGGCCAGTTCTGTGGTCATTTTTACAGCCAATACCCCCAGAAACCTTTAAAGCAAGACAGCCATAGGAGTGATGCATTGCCAGACTGCAAGAAATATTGGCCTATTACGTCCGGATCAGTTCCTGAAGGGTTACTGTTAATATTTGGCTTTGGGGAGAGGAGTTAATAAAAATCCATGTTCATGGTACTTTATATACCCAAGTGCAGGCAGAGGGAAGGCTAAGGGAAGTAAAAATAGTTTACATAGCACATAATAGGGATCATGAATATTAGTTGCCAGTTCTAACACTGCCAATGTGTGGGTTTATGTGGATGGTAATATAGCTTAGTAGTCAGCAGAATGGATGCGGGTGTCCAAGAGACTGAAGTCAAATCCTAGAGTTGTCAATTAGGAAGCAGTGTGACTGAACAAATAATTGAAATTCTAAATCTCAGTTTCTTCATTGATATGATGGGACAATATGCAGCTTCCGTGGCTTTGATGAATTAACACATGCAAAGAATCTAGATCAGTACTTGCTGTATCATAAGTATTCAACAAATGGAGATAATGTAACTAAAGCAACATAAATGTATACTAATGATCCAGGGCTGACTAGCGTCTGAGATTAGACCTAGATGCCTAGAATAACCAAACCATTATAAAACACTTAAATTTGTGGATGATTGAGTTTTTAACATGGTCTACAGGAAACATAATATCATATTCCACTGACTCTAAGATTGTGCATTTTTAAATATTTAAATGAGGGGCATTGGCTTTGCCTGCACATACGTATCAAAGTTTGGAAAAAAGAGGATGGTAGTTTGGTAGAAAAATCCAGACCCAATAATGGAGCATTCTTTTAAGAAATGAGACATCACCGGGGCGCTTAGGCAGCTCAGTTGGTTGAGTGTTTGACTCCTGATTTTGGTTTAGGTCATGATCTCAGGGTTGTGGGATTGAGCCCAGCATTGGGCTCCATGGTGGGCATAGAGCCTAATTGAGATTCTCATTCTCCCCTGCTGCCTGTTCTTCCCCTGCTTGTGTGCATGTGTGCATGCATTCTCTCTACCTTCTCTCTCAAAAAAAAAAAAAAAAAGGAAAAGAAAAGAAAAGAAATGCTACATCATCGATCCTCTCATTGACACGGAATATGACAATGTGGAGACATACAGATAGCGATGACCTTCATCTACAAAACAGTTCAGAAGAGCCAGACTCCAAATGAGAAACTCTAGGAAACGTCTCCTTCCATTTATTTGTTTTGGCTTTCTGTTTTATATTCATATAATGGTAACATTAGGGAAATATGTATGCCTAACTGGGTCTGTTTATTACATAGAGTGTTTTCAAATCAATATAGAGCGAAAATTGTGGCGTTAAAGCATTGAGTCATAGTTTAACTGTCAGTCTTTGTCATACAGGCACGCAAATAATGGAACACCTTACAACGGATGACAGGTTGGCTTTGCTGAAATATGGTAAATAAGAAAGTATGATGAGTCCAAAGAATTTCGAATTCAAGTAAATTCTGAGTTGATAAAGGCCAACCTATCTGGATTCAAATCTTAGCTCCTGTATTTCTAGTTATGTTATCTTTGGACAAATGACCATCCCTCCAAACCTCTGTAAAATGACAATTTTGCCTAAACCATTAGGTAAATTCTACAGATTAAACAAAATAATATATATACGAAGCATTTAACACCGTACTGTGTGAGTACTTCAAGACGGCAATAAATGATTGATATAATTCTTATTATGATAATTAACAGTCTATCGTTCTATTTAAGAAGTCAAAATGCTTCTGGGTATTTTTCACAGCATGTAACAGAAAGCCATGTGTTATAGCTACCAATCACTCACATTAAAAAAATTATATATATATATATACACACTGAAATATATTAACCTAAGCTGTGAATTAACCTCCTATATTTTAGCTTAAGCACAACATAAAAACAAGTGAATGAATGTTCACCAGATTTGAAAGTTACATTTATAATGGTCTAGTTTGAAATATAATGTAAGTGCTCTACTCAAGGGTTTAAGTTGGGGTGGTCAAGAGCAGTGAAAAGACAGGTGGCCATCTTTTAGCTGAAACTCATGAATAGGAGGAATACGTGATTGCTAATCAAAAAGCCAGGCCACATATACTAAAAATACACAGACTGAAAACATCATTATCCTCAAGAGGGGTTTCAAATGCAAGGCTAGAACAATGGGAGACTTAAAGACAGATACCCTGAGACTAGCAATTGAACTGCTACATATATGGACAATTAAGGAAAATGCTCTAGGGTGAAGAGTAGTAGGTATTCCTTCATTTAACAGTTAATGAGATGACAGTGTGTTATAAGATGCATACGCCTTCCTGAAGACCCTCCCTCATGGATTCTCAAACTGAAGATTCCTTTTATTTATTTATTTATTTTTTAATTTTTTTTTTCAACGTTTATTTATTTTTGGGACAGAGAGAGACAGAGCATGAACGGGGGAGGGGCAGAGAGAGGGAGACACAGAATCGGAAACAGGCTCCAGGCTCTGAGCCATCAGCCCAGAGCCTGATGCGGGGCTCTAACTCCCGGACCGCGAGATCGTGACCTGGCTGAAGTCGGACGCTTAACCGACTGCGCCACCCAGGCGCCCCTGAAGATTCCTTTTAAAGAAAAAGTAATTGCTGTTCTCTGGTGCTGGCTTAAGTATTTTATTATAATGTTACTTAAATGTCTACGTATACAACTAGATACAAGGAATTATAATGTTCAAGAGAATCCGAAAAAATAAAAAAAGCAAAACAAAGCCAGTAAGAATTAAAATTGACTGCATTTGTTAAATGCAGCTCAAGTTGTTTTGTTGAAGCCCACTAACTGCTTGCAATTTGAGTGTGGCATTGACGGAACAAAGATTCCTTTGAGTTCAGCCTGCCAGAAACACCAAGCTGGGTGTGATGAGCCATTTTCTTGTCACTGTTCTCTATTTGAACCACTGCAAGACTTTACCCCTCACTTGACGTGCATTTATTAAGTCTGCCTGTATTCTCTTCTCATTCGCCCCTAATAAATACATGGTTGCAATGCAATCATAAACTCGACTGCAGGCAAGAACAGAGTAGTAACCTATTGCTTTGTAACATATACCACAAAACTCGGTGACTTAAAACAGCAATGACCACGTACATCCCCTGGTTTCTTTGGGCCAGAAACCCAGGGATGGTTCAGCTGGGTAGTTCTGGCTTGGGGACTTTCATGAGGTCATAGTCAGATGGTGGCTGAGGCTGGGGCCCTCTCAAAGTCTTTATCACATGCGTGCTAGCTGGGCCGGGAAGACTTGAATGGTTGGGGTTCTCCTAGCAGTCTCTATAAAGTCCCTCCATTTGGTTGGTAAAGCATGGCAATGTCATGAAAGCTGGATTTCTTATATGACTCAGAGCTTCTTAGGCGAATGCCCGAAGACAGTGAGCCAAATGGAAGCCATATCACCTTTTCTAACCTCTGCTTGGAAGTCATGCAAGGTCGTCTTGCCTCACATCATTCGTTAGAAGCAAAGTCACTAAAGCCTGCCTGCATTCAAGGGAAGGAAAATTAGATCCCACCTACTGAAGGGAAGGGTGATAGAGGATTTGAAATATATTTTAAAACCTCCAGATATTGAAATCGCATGACCACATTCAGTTTTTTTTTTTAATGTATTTATTTATTTTGAGAGAGAGAGAGAGAGAGAGAGAAAGTGCAAGCAGGTGAAAGGCAGAGAGAGA